GTATTTCCCACTCACTGTTTAAACAGTCAATATCCAGAGATGACTTGGATTAAAAAGAAAATGTTCGCTCACTCTCGGCCGCCGGTTTGCACTGCGAATCTTCCCGCTGCTCCGCCGCCCAGTCCTTCGTCGATCGCAATGGAGGAAGAAATTGCCGCATTTGTCATTGATAATGGCTCTGTCAAGTGCAAAGCTGGCTTTGCTGGCAACGACGCCCCCAGGGCCATGTTCCCTTCCATCGTCGGGCGTCCCCGACACCAGGGCATCATGGTGGGCATGGGTCAGAAGGACCCGTACATGGGTGATGAGGCCCAGAGCAAGAGAAGTATTCTGACCCTGAAGTATCCCATCGAGCATGGCATTGTCACCAACTGGGATGACATGGAGAAGATCAGGCGCCACACCTTCGACAATGAACTGTGTGTGGCCCCTGAGGAGCACCTGATGCTTCTGACTGAGGCCCCCCTGGACCCCAAAGGTAACAGAAGATGATGCAGATAATGTTTGAAACCTGCATCACCCCAGCCATGTACGTGGCCATTCAGGCGGTGGGGTCCCTGTATGCATCCGGGCGCACATACAGTGCCCATCTGCGAGGGCTCGCCCTTCCCCACGCCTTCTTGCATCTGGACCTGGCTGCCCGGGACCTGACAGACTACCTCATGAAGATCCTGACTGAGAGGGGCTACAGCTTCACCACCACGGCTGAGCAGGAAATTATGTGTGACATTAAGGAGGAGCTGTGCTATGTTGTCCTGGATTTTGAGCAGGAAATGGCTACTGCTGCGTCCTCCTCCTCCTTGGAGAAGAGCTTCGAGCTGTCTGATAGGCAGGTGATCCCCATAGGCAATGAGCGCTTCCAGTGTCCAGAGGCGCTCTTCCAGCCCTCCTTCCTGGGCTTGGAGACCTGTGGCATCCATGAGACCACCTTCAACTCCATCATGAAGTGTGATGTGGACATCCACAAGGACCTGTATGCCAACACAGTGCTGTCTGGTGGTACCACCGTGTATCCAGGCATTGCTGACAGGATGCAGAAGGAGATCACAGCCCTGGCTCCCAGCACAATGAAGATTAAGATCATTGCTCAGGCTGGATTGGCGGCTCCATTCTGGCCTCGCTGTCCACCTTCCAGCAGATGTGAATCAGCGAGGAGCAGTATGACGAGTCAGGCCTCTCTGTCGTGTACCGCAAATGCTTCTAGATGGACTGAGCAAGTGTCAGGCATCTGCTGCATGAGCTGATTCTGAATATCGATTTTCACCTGGCAAATGTGCACACCTCATGCTAGCCTCGTGAAACTGGAATAAGCCTTTGAAAAGAAATTGGTCCTTGAAGCTTGTACCCAATGCCAGCACTGGATCGTAGAACTTGTTGCTGATTTTTGACCTTGTATTCAAGTTAACTGTTCCCTTGGTGAATGTTTAATACCCTTTGCATATCTTGATTTAGTCCTTAGTCATGTGGCTCAGTCACTTGGTGGCTGGGGAGAGCACGCTGTGGAAGAGAAATCCCCAGCCTGGTGGATCTGTGAGCACCGTGCAGAGATCTGTGCAGGGTATTAACCAACAGCTGACTTCCACGATTTCTCGGGGCTGGCAAGGGTTCCTGAACCAGTGACCACTTCCATCTTGCTGGTCTAACAGGGTGGGAAAGTTCAAGCCTTAAGACCCAGTTTCTGTTCTGGTGTTTTCCCTCCTGACCGCCATGGGTTGTTACTTGCCTTGAGTTGGGAACATTTGCACTGACACCTGTAAATGTATTCACCCTTTTAATTTATGCAAGGCTTTTTGTACTCAATTCTTTAAGAAATGACAATTTTTGGTTTTCTACTGTTCAGTGAGAACATTAGGCCCCAGCAACATTGTATAAAGGAAAATAAAACTGCTGCAGTAAAAAAGAAAGAAAGAAGTAAATAAAGAGAGAGAAAGAAAGAAGGAAAGGAAGGAAGGAAGGAAGGAAATGAATTGAGGCTGGAGACAGTCTGACATCCAAGTCTTAATATGTTCATTAAAACAAATAGCTCCTTTCTTGCCTCATACCTCAGCTGCAGGAAAAACAAATGGGATGCTTTGAGTGCTGTGTGTAGAAACAAGAACTGCATCTCCTGCTGACAGTGTGGCTACAGCATGGAGACCCCAGAAAGAGAGCATAGGAACTTAGCTTGTGTGTCAACTAGACCCAAGGTTAATTAAGGAAGTGGGGTCAGGGAGAATACAGAGGTTCAGAAGTTGAGGAGTAAAAGGAAGAGAGAGAATTATGAATGCAAACCTGGACTTAAGCAGAAATAGCACCCTTGAAGGATCTGGGGCCCTCAAATCATTTTAATAGCTTCGTGTTCAGAGGGCTTATGGGCTGCATGGTTGCTGCTGTTAGCTAAAAAATCTCCAGATAAGGAAAATACTTCCCCCTGTCTAGCTGACTTGTTTAGAATGCAGTCTCCAGATGAGGTTGGTTTTGCTATGCCCAGCTCATCTGTGCTCGCCATCAGTCACTAAACCCTGGAAAAGGCAGAGGTTTGTGAAATGGGTTGCCTTAATCACATCGCTGTCACCATGAGAGAGAAATATTGAACAATACATAGACATTGGAATGCAAAATGAAATTTTCCCTAGAATTGACCATATTTGCACAAAGTCATTCATCTTGTTAGCATAGCCCACTTTCTCTGCTCCCAAACGAAGTTTGAGAAGCTTGATTCTAATTCAGCCTCCCCTGACAACTCATCTCACTCTTTGTGTGTAGTGTTCTCTTCCCAAGAAGTGTATTAGTCTAGGAAATTCTGAGAGCCCACGAAATTAGACTGCCTAAGTCAAGTCTTAGCCCGCCCAGAGACTACTTGAATGTCCTTGGTTGAGTTACTCAGCCTCATTCAATGATAGTTTCTTTTTTGGCAAAATAGAAACACTGATATTAAGTATGTAACTTAGGGGAGGAGGGAAGGGAGAGCTGGGATTGACATATGAAGCAAGCTTGTTTCTAATTTAAATTTAAAAAAGGAAAAAAGTGTGTAACTTAGTATGTGGGCACGTGTTTAGGTCCTGGTACTTATGTGTGTGTAGATGCACACACATATGCATATGCTTGCATGTGTGTGTACATGCGTGTGAAGGTCAGAAGGTCTTGTTTATTAGGCACTATCCTCTTTGTATGTGGAGAAGTGGGAAATAAGTTTTCTCCCTGGCCTAGAACTCACTAAGTAGCCTAGGCTGGTAGACCAGAAAACCTCAAGGATCCACCTGTGATGGACTGAGCCTGTCCCACCACACCTGTATTGTTTATGTGAGTTCTAGGCACCAAAGCCAGGTCCTCATATTTGCAAGGCAAATGTTTTACTGACTGAGCCATCACCCCAGCCCAGAAGTCACTTAATTCCCAATGTGACTAACAATGATTACATTATATGCAAAAAGTTAAGCACACTGCCTGACTCAAGACAGATAATTGGTGACTATAAACTCTGTTTTAATAATTACACAGCACTGAAAACTTGGAACCTAAAGACTAAATCTTTCTCAGCTGTATGGTTTTCCAAGGCCAACCCCTGTGTGTCTGTGATTCCTTGGAGACATGTTAAACTTGACAAGATTTGTGCTTCGGTGATAAATGTTCCCATCATCCACTGCACCATTCTGTCTGTTTTGACTTCCATGGCATGTGAGTTTTGTCTCCGGCTGAGCTCTGGATACTGTTGGCTGGAGCCCTCTCTAAGAGCATCCAGCATGCATGCCATGTGTGCTGACTCTGATGGGTCTGCAGCTCAGAGAAGAAGAGAAAGAGAGAAAATCAAGACCACAGTCTTCCCAGTATGGATGGGGGAGGTGGCTCATGAAATCCCACCCCCAGCTGAGGACCTTTCGATACCTGATGGCTGATACCTGACGGCTGCTGGAGGAGGCTGGGCATCCTTTCCTTCAGAAATGCATCTCCTGATGGGCTGCCCCTGCTCCAGGGCACGTGCAGCACTGAGTGGGCTCAGAGAGTTATAGGAAGAGTACATGAACTTGGGAGGGGAAAGAGGTGAGGATATGGGAGGAGTTGGAGGGGACAATGTATGGGTGGATTTGATCAAAACCCGTTATATGTACATGTGAACTTCTCAAACAATGAATTAAAATAGTGACACTGAGACCATAGGCTGAAGGAAAGGAAAACAGGTTGTGAACAGGTTGTGTGGGACCATGAGGAAAAGTTTCAATCAACCTCCCGCTTTGCTCAGAAGGAAAAACTGAAGCCCACAAGTGTCCCAAGACTGCCCCAAAGTCACTTACCTAAGTGGACATAACCGTTACAGATGTGGGGGTTGAAGAGCAGCTGAGGAGGGGAAGGGAGAAAGAGAGAAAGGACTGTGAAGCTGTTCTTACAAACCCCCAGAAAAGAATGAAGAGGAACATTTGGGGCAACATAAAATCATACAATGCCTATTCAGGGAGCTGGTAAATGTCTGGGGTGGAAAAAGGGAGCTCTGGACTGGGCCATCTAGAATCTTATGCTCACAGAGGATATGCTCGGGTAATCACATTTTTTCTCTCTGTGTAACAGCCCTGGCTGTAGACCAGGCTAGCCTCGAACTCACAGACATCCACTGGCCTCTGCCTCCAGAGTGCTGGGATTAAAGGCGTGCACCACCACACCCGGCTGGGGGTAATCACATTTTAATGTGAATGTGGGTTTGAATGTACTCCTACCTTAATTTTATTACTCAGGCAAAACTGTTTGTCTAGACTCTACCAAAACGGGATGCTGCACTGTCTAAGGCTTGGAGGAAGCCAACAGATCATTCTCTACCCCTGAGAGAGGGAGCTGGTACAACCCTATCTTTCTGAAATGGTCTTTGAAAATCATAACAAAAGGGTTAGCAGCAAATGTGGGACACACATGCATCTGGAAGCTTTGGAAACTTTTTATAGATATAAAGAGATGGGTGTTGGTTTGTAGTTCGAACGGATTGGCCGCTTGGCTTGCCAATCATATGTATAACCCTTTGTGTTCTCTTCCAGGTTCCTTCTTCCCTGATTTCAAGCCCTCGGAAACCGTTTTCAAAATAGTATTTTGGCTTGGGTACCTAAACAGCTGCATCAACCCCATCATATACCCATGCTCCAGCCAGGAGTTCAAGAAAGCCTTTCAGAATGTCCTGAGAATCCAGTGTCTCCGCAGACGGCAATCTCAGCACGCCCTGGGCTACACCCTGCATCCGCCCAGCCAGGCCCTGGAGGGACAGCACAGAGACATGGTGCGTATCCCCGTGGGCTCCGGAGAGACTTTCTATAAGATCTCCAAGACAGACGGAGTCTGTGAGTGGAAGTTTTTCTCTTCCATGCCCCAGGGATCGGCCAGGATTACGAGGCCGAAGGACCAATCTGCCTGCACCACAGCCCGGGTGAGAAGTAAAAGTTTTTTGCAGGTCTGCTGCTGTGTGGGGTCTTCGAACCCCAGCCTTGAAGAAAATCACCAAGTTCCAACCATTAAGATCCACACCATCTCTCTCGGTGAAAATGGGGAGGAAGTCTAGAGGATGGGAAAGGTCACAGGAAGTGGGAAGGCACTAGGTACTGCTGACTCACACTCAGAAGGCCAGTGAATTCTTCTTGAAGACCAAGCCAGGACCATTCAAAGAGGTCCCCATCTGGGAAAGGGGAGAGGGAGCGTGCCGGTAGGGCCCAGGGTAAGAAGCAGGGTGTCTGGTGGCTAAGTGGTTCTGAATGATGAAGGCCCGTTTCCCTTCAGCTCACGCCCTCAGCCATTCTCTGATCCCACTTTCCACAACTCACCCTTTCAACAAGAAATACCATGGGAAAGAAAATTTCGTACACAATCCAAAAGACTATAAATACAGGATGATGATTTCATTGTGAATATTTTGAGCACACACTCTAAGTTTGGAGCTATTTCTTGATGGAAGGGAGGGTACTTTATTTTCAGGCTGAATCTACTGGCAACTACATTTGACATTTATGGAGAGGGGACCTAGACAGAAAGGCGAGTAAGGTAGTGGCCAACATGCTTTTAGAGGGAGTTTGGAAACGCCACCAGATCCTCAGCTTGGGTGAACCTGGATGGGGCCTTCCCAGAGGTTGTTTTCTGATGGGTTCCTTATCCCCATTTGAAACTGGGGTTCATTCTCCACCCTTGGATCTAAGGAGTATGGCAGGACTAACCAGGGACAGCATGCTTTTCTCAAGGGAAGAAGGTATGCCTGGGGCAGCAGCTGCAAGACCGGCTGAAAGAAGGTTTTCTTCTTTTACCTCCTTAAAGAGCAAGAAGCTGAAATGGGAGGGGCGCTAATGTCAGGCTGATCCCCTCTTGTTCTGCAGCCTCTTTGATGTGATGAACCGCATGCCTTTTCCAGAACTCCATAATGGAAATCCAGGGATGGCAGAATCCTGGATTCCATTACCTCTCCCTGGCTTCGTGGCTATGTAGCGAATGAAGTTCACCTGTGGCATGTAGAATGAGTCTTAGGGTCCAGGTACATCCCTCCTGAGTTTCCAAACATACTGATGCTTACCCTCAAACACTTTAGTTGACTACCAAACAACTGCCCAAATTGACTCCTGCTTTTGGCAAAATCTTGGGGAATGTGATATATTTTTTTCTTGCTTTATGTATACCAAATCCGTGCATCCTTAATAATTCACATTATTGTGAATGGTGACTATGATAATCACACATAAAAATTAAAACACACCTGTCATTCAGCCATAAGAATTGTAAAATAAGGTTTAATGTTTTTGTCACCAATCCTAATAAGAATCACCACTAGCAACATTTTTCATAACTTCTTCCCCTATTTACCGAATTTCTCCCAAGAGCTTCAGAGCAGGTTGAAGTTACTGTGAAACCTTGACAGCGAGGCTCCCAGCCCTCGCAGCTTTCCTCCCCTCCCTACATCAAACTGGTCTAAGTCTTTCTAAAGGCAAACCTGTATCCACATTGCAATGAAGAAAATGCATGCATGCATGCGGCTGTGGGTTTTGGTTGACCTTAGACTCTGACCTGCTTCCTCCACCTTTTACTGGGCCGTGTCTTCTTGTTGGCCAGCTCGATAGTTACTTGGCCTTGTACTGTGAACTTGGCTGCTGCCACTGAGAAGCTGGCTGGGATTTTAGGCTGTCTTGGGCTCTCTGCATGACTCCTAACAGCTCTACCAGATGTGAGTGTTAAAGCATCTAGGGAGAACTTGAGAGAGCAAGCCTGGCTCATTTGTCCCTAAGCTTAACCGTTACAATTAACTTCCTTCTAAACATGAATCCTTGTTCCTGTCATCCCCTCAGAGAAGAGCATCCTTACAGAGAGAGATCGGAGCTTCTCCTCAGCAGGGTACCATGCCATGCTACCGACGATCTTTCAGTCCCTTGGTGAAAAAAATGCAAATGATTAAAAGCTACCATTGATGCTAGTTCTAATCAGAAAACAAACTAGAAAATCTTCAAGTCCTCAGATAAAAACTGTGACGATTGTACCTGTGTGGAGTCATCCGCAAACAATTGCCTGTATATTCCACTGGCATCCCTCCCTCTAAGAGGCAAATATCTAACAGCTTTTTCCGTTCCCACAGAAGAGGACTGAATAGAAACACAGCAACTTTATAAGAAATTGATAATGTCACCAAAACATGGCGGCAAAAGTGGTGTAAACAACTTAAACGTAGAATGGCTTTTTAATCATCCACCAAAAAAAAGTCTGTATCTTTAAGCGTGCCAAAAACTATCTAAAATGGCTACAGCCAAACAAATGATTGTCATATTTATATTCACATGTTTACTGCTTCTATTTGGAGTTTGAGGAATTTACCCAGAGTAACCCCAGTTAAAATGTCCTCTCTTGTGTGTTCTAAAAAAAAAAAAAAAAAAAACAAGATCACTTGGGATTATCTCTATGTCGCCAAATCAATGGGGCATTACAGTAGGCGACTATGAGTACTATGAGACTAGTGTGAGATTCTGACCGTGTATATGAAGAGGGACCTTGGATCTCATTACACAAAACGTTCTCCAGGGCATCAGAGAGGTCGCTCAATTGGTGGAGTGCTTGCCTGACATACGCATTCCAGCTGCACCCTAAAACTGAGAGCGGTGGCTTGTGACAGTAAACTTAGCATTCAGGAGGTGCAAACATGATAAGGAGGAGTTCAGGGTCAACCTTGAACACTTAGTAAGTTTAAGCCAGCCTAGACTACATGAGACTCTGTCTCGGAAAAGTAAATAAAATTAAATTTAAAATAAAATAAAATAAAACGTTCCAGGCTATACTACTGCAAGAAAAGCTCTTTCCTTGTCATAGTCTCATCCAAGTCTGCTTCTGCATGGAATCACTGTGCATGCGGCACACTTTACAAGGCACTGAGGCTGCTGAATCTCATTGCTGACTTGGATTGGTCCGTTCAAGACGGACAGTGATAGCTGAGTTATAAGCACTGCCTTGTGGTGCTTCTCTTTGCTCCAATGCTTGTCAGGGATCAGTGGCTCTAATTCTCCATTAACTCTTCCATTACCATTCTTAAGATGTAACTCTGATGGCTGGGAAAGCCTAAGGACTTACCCATGGTCAGGAAGGAACTGTGGCTCAAACCTAAGTATCCCCCTAGGTGTTCACATTCTGTGTAGTACCTCTGCTTCACACACAGGGAGAGGAGGGTTTAATTGAATAGTCTCAGGAGACTAATTCACTCCCAAACTTTAATGTAATTTGTTCCCTTGGGGTTTTTCTACAAATTAACCTTAGCAGACACACCACCAAACCTGTGTCTACAATTACAACTATTAACAAGCACCCCCCCCTTCCAGGACATAGTACTCTCATATATGGCGAAAGCCTTACAAAGAGGACAGGTTATACTAAACCAGGACAAGATGAGCATATAACAGAACACGGAGAGTTGATTAAGAATGGAAAAGCCCAGAGCTGGAGAGATGGCTCAGCCGTTAAAGGCTAGGCTCACAACCAAGAATGGAAAAGCCCAATGATAGATGGGACACATATTGGGTGGTGTGTGGAAGTCCTGGGTTGCCAATCATGGTTAACATGAACACTAAGGAATACCCCTCTTCAAAAATATATACAAACAAATAAAACACTTGTTCTCACTCACCTAAATTCCAACCTTTATCTTACAAGCTGGCAAAAAGGCAAGTGGCCAGAGGCATCCCACCAGGAATTGTAGAGCATGTACTGGGCACGTGATTTTCTCAGATGCCACTCGGAATGTGGTCTCTGAATATCCAGAGACTGTGGCAGTTTTTGAAGACAGGCCCTTGGTAGGCAGCTGTGCATTCTGACTTGCTTCCTTTTCTGTATGAACCATCATGAAGACTCTTTAGGGGTGAAAGCCAGGGAGAGAAAGTCTTTTAGGAAGCGTTTTCTTGAGCAGGTAATTGCTCATGTGTTAATCACCACTTCTTAATCACCACTAACAAGCATTCCTAATTGCTTCTGGGGACATCTCTGTCCCCATCCTCTTGCCAAAGTATGGTGCTGCCTCTCCGATGAATGCTTGCTGACTTAATTAAGGGAAGAGATTGGTTCATCAGCAAAGGGAAACGCGAACAGGTGGAAGGCAGCAGATGAAATGCAATCGAGTCCAGGGTGACAAGAGAAGAGAAAGGTAGCAGATGTGCAGGCATCAGAAATGCTCACTCGTCACTCTGGTCTCTTTTTTACACTACCAGGGCTTTTAACCGTGAAACCACCTGTACGTACACAGCTCCGAAAGAGCCCAGTTGGAACACTGCATCTGCTCTGGGCCTCCAAACTATGCTGAGGAGCTGGGCTGAGGCCACGTCTTCCAAAAGCCATGGCACCAGTGGCCTCTGGCCCTCCAAGTCCCCTGCAAGATGAATGAGTGGACATGGCTTCTGTGGGGACTGGGCTGGGAAGCCAGTTAGGATTTCAGCATATGAAGCCGGCCCCTGTCCAAAGGTGCCATTGACAGGCTCTCACTCACGTTTTCCAGACCATATGTTACGTGAGTGAGCCAATAAAGAGCCTTCCCTGCTCTCTGCAGGAGAATGTCGTCTTTACACTACCACTGATAAAGCTCCAAAGGCTGTAGAGGTGGCAGGGAGCATTGAGGGAGGAGACTGACACAGCGGAGGCTCAAAGCTTGGAGGGTTAGTCATGCTTTGCCGCAACTGACAAGAAAAGAACTGTCATGAAACTGGCGGCTTCTTCCAAAAGGCCAAATAATGACCTTTTCTTTCATGTGGCTTGGGAGCTGTTGCCATGCTGTCCCTGTAGCATACTTGGTACAGTCGTATTATAAGTTGGGGTTGATGACTGTTGAACCATGAAAAACGCAGACTTAATTAGGTGGGAAAAAAACCTTAGCACAATTTAGCATTGCATGTAGAGAAGAAAATATGATGAACATCCTGGCCTGTGAAACAGGCTGAATAAAATAAGTGTATTTGAATGTCATAAAGAGTCAGCTTAGACAGAAATTCCAACATGAATTTAATGTTTCCATGTTAAATTCATATATATGCATACACATATGCATATATATGGACATGTGTATCACCACATACTTATCAAACCTTTCTCAGGTCATTCCTGTGTGGGAGAAGGAAAGAGAAGGAGCTTTTATCTAATTTGGTATGTGAAGAAACGGAAGTCGTGAGCTCAAGACGTCTTTTAATACCCTCATATCCAACCTTTCCACAATGCTTCCATGCCCCCAGCGTCTGCCATGTATTTTGACTCTGACTTTCATAGTCCCTTCTTCATAACTCTAGCTCTGTCCACATCATCTTCTCTCCTCCTATCCCGGCCAACAACCGGGAAGAACTTGTCGGACATGGTCACCCATTCTTGTTTCCTTGGCTAACAGATAGGCAGGTGTCATTCTGTTCTTTCTCCATAGAAGAGATGCTATAGATCAAGGGATGTAGCCAGGGGCAGAAGGCTGTGACTGTTACCCTAAAGTCCCAAAAGGAGCCTCTGATCAGCAGTTCCAGATGGCTTCTCTCCACTGCATCACCCTAGCATGAAACCAAAGGGAGGTGCAGACAGTCCCCAGTGGACCAGTTGGCAGGGGTCTGAGTTGCTGTGCTCAGAAGTCAAGCATGTGTTTTTCCAAGAAGCATTGTTATAAACGGGGAGGTGTCCCCAGAGGAGCCAAAAGTAAATAAATAAACATCTGTTTAATGTATACCAAGAGTTGGTAAACTTTTTCTGTAAATGGCTGGATGGTAAGCATTTCAGGCATGATGGACTATGCGTTCTCTGTTTTAGCTCTTTGGTGGGAGGCTATAGACAGACCTTTAAAAATGTAGAACCATTTGCAACTCAAAAGACATCAAGGTGTGGACCAGGTTTAGCCCATGGGCCACAATTTTCCCTCCATGCTCCACACTACCACTAGCTTGTGGTATAGAGCCAATGCTACTAAACTGTAGCTGTAGATGATCAGCGTGATTATAAAAAATAGGCCATTGGTGTATCTCCCCTGGACTAAATCAACGTTCCCAGTCAGTGTGAGCTGTTACATGAAGCGGCCAGTTCACATCTTCATGATTTCCAGGCAAGTGGTAGGAACAGAGAAACACTTGCCACTCCCCGCATTGTGCCCTGTGGGGTAGGCAAGTCAACAGAAGCCACAGTTGTAAAGAGGAGCTTTTTTTTGCTAGCTGCTTTGGTTTATCCCCCGCCAGCCGCCTGGGCTCTGCCGCATTGTAGTCCCCAAATAAACACACAAGACGCTGTATTAATTATGAAGCTGTTGGCCTTGCTTGTTTCTTACTGGCTAGCTCCAACTTAAGTATTTACCCCATAATTGTTAATCTATGTATTTCTCTTACTGGAGACGTTCTGGGCTTCCTACCCCATGGCAGTTACATCTTGAATTTCTGTGTTTCTCCTTCCCAGAATCCTCCTGGACTCCTAGTCCCACCTATCTAGATTCCTATTGGCTCAACAGTACTTTATTGACAAATAAGAGGACTTCCCCAACACACAGTGAGTCCAGGGGTCTTCCAGGCTTAGAAGGCAATTGCCCCCATGATGTCTGTCCAACTCAAAGAAGTCACATGACCAAGGCTGCCCTGAAATTTCTCCCAGGTCCTCAGAACTCTTCAGAGTGGAGATCCCCAGGAGCCTTTTGGGCCTTCTTGAAGAGGTCCTCTGACCACCATGCCCTGTGTTAGGGAGTTTGGACCCTCCTTGGAACTCAATTGGGGGAGTGACAGGACACAAACACATCTTTCATAAGAAATGGGAATAGGACTTTCTCTCGTGTCCCCTTCCTTCTGTGCCTCCCTTCCTATTTCTCCTTTTTCTGTTAAATTAAAATCACTAATGGAAGAGAGACGGCTCCACTATAAGAAAATTTACTTAGCACTCCTGAGAAACGCAAAAACCATGAGGCCCTGAGCTAGCATTTCATTTTTGTTGTTGTTTTGTGTAGCATTTCAACAGAGGACTCCCTTCCTTTCCCCTCTAGTCCTGAGGGGACGTGAGGAGCAGAGGGTTTCCAGATGCAAATAAGGCTCGGATCGCATGGCCTAGTGTGGCATCTGAGTATTGAGGAAGGAGACTCCACAGCTGGGCTTTGAGTAGGACAGTGAAGGCAGATGCAGTCTGGAAAGATCCAGAACTATCGGCACCATTCAGTAAAAGCACCACAACCAACCTGAGCGTGGAAAGGAAGGCTTGGTTGGTTGCGGGATGGCAGTTTCCCTTCCGGCCCTTTCTTCCACCCCTTGCTGTGTCTACACGTTTTGCTCTTTCCATCCTTTGCTGATTCCATCCTACCCCTTAAGTCAGCGTTCCACTCCTGCCAGCTTTGCAGACAATGAAAGGTGTTTCATTAGCTCTTGTCTGTAGAATATGTGCCCCATGCTGTGAGGGAAAAAGATACATTTGACCCTGAGTCTGGACCAGGAAATGAAGCCAGCAAGGGGACAGCATCCTCAGGGCCCCTGGTCCTTCCCGGACCTTGATCCTCCCCTTGGAGTTCTTGGGCGATCCATCCCACACACAAAGGACACAAGCACACTGTGCGGTCGCACTTCAGGGGAGCTTAGGCTTGGAATGGTTTCTGGAGTACTCCTAATCCACTTCTCACAATCTGGACATCTGTCCCATGCTCTCAACATCAGCTTTTAGTCTGCAGCATCACCTTCTGTCTTTTGCTTTTGGTCTCTCTTTCTTACGAACTTTCCCTCTTAGGAGTTCACTGGGGCCTTCAAGGCCAGGATGAATCCATAAAGTAAACTCACTTCTCCCTTCCCATTGAGCAATGGCTGATCCATCAGAAGGCGTACCCTCAGCTGGACTGTCTATAGGGATACTGTTTCTTCCAAGACTCTGTTCCTGTGTGCTTCTGGAACTTAGGGTTACCCTTCTCATTTACTCTACCCTTGAACTAGGGAAACATCTGCCCTGAAGAGTCTTTTCACACATGATTGTTCTTGTTCTAGTTCTTGTTGGCAGCTTCAGCATTTGTATCCCCATGTTCATTTCTCAGGTGTACTTTTGCCCAGTAATGTAGATCTGTGCGGCTTCAACAACATTCACTGCTGTCCTTATGGTTCTGGATGCTAGAAATCCAAAATCAAGGTGTTAGCTGGCTATGTCTTCCTCAGCCGATGTTGACTTCCCCCTGAATTTCCATGTGGTCTTCTACTTACAAGAACACTCGTCACATTGGATGATCTGTTCCCATGAGCTCATTGCATCTTGATTACCTCTTTAAAGACTATTTCCAAATACAGTCACATTGTGAAGAAACAAGAGAATTGGGAATGGGAATTTAGGAGGCATTCACTTCAACTGGTATGGTCCCATATACTCTCTCTTTCTTCATACCAAAAAAATATCCATAATCCTTTACCTAGACAGGAAAGTTTATTCTTTCCCAAGTTTTATGCCAATTGTCTGTAAAATGTATTTAGCAGCAAATTATGCACTTGCTTGAGATCTCCCAGATGCTTCTTAAAATCTTAATACTTGAAAGTAGTTTGAAAGGCATCTTGTATACACTGACCTTACATGCGTTCTGACTTCTCAACCAGATGGAAGTTGTGAGAAGCAAGGACAGTTGTGTCACTCAGTACACATACAGCCACACTCTACCCTTGAAGGATGAAAGCCCTCAACCCCCAGGTAGGCAAGGAGGAAGAGGAGAAGGGATAGCTGGGAAGGCAAATCAACAAGAACATGAAAGACCAGCGTAATAGTTGGAGATCTGGAGTTTCTAGATATTTAATAACTTTATTATGCCCCAACTGTGGAGCATCCCAAGTTAGCATGTGTCCTGGATCAGGTGGGCATTTGAGCTCCCCTGAAACATCAGCATCCAGAAAAGCAGAGCCCCACCACTGAGTGGGACAGACCCTTGACTACACAGAGTGAGACAGAAGATGGGATTAAAGACCAGGGACAGACTTAGTCCTAAGAAGTGGGTCACTAGGGCCTCTTGGAAACACTGTGATCACCACAGGTCCCATCTACTGAAATAACCTGACCAAAGGCCATGATGGCCACTCCTGGTGAAAGATCTTTCAAGTAAAAGTACTGCAATATGAGCTAGGAGGATGCCTCATGAGATGATAGAACCAATTCATAGTGAGCCTCCACGCCGTGCCAGCGTACTTGCTGCCTTCATTTCCCCTCCCAGCTGTTCCCTACAGGGGAGTACCACGAAGGACTTGTAAGGCATCTACAAGCCCCGAACACTCTACATACAACAATTGGAGAGTAAGTTTTTCCTTTACCCTTTATCCTACCTCAGGCTTACTTGCAGAAGTCACCAGCATCCACAGGTGACACTCGTTTCTGTATAATTCTCAAGGAAATCAGAAACTAGCTGGTGCATGGTAGTTGCTGCCATTCCGAAACTCTCAGTTATCTGCACCCCTCCCCCCAACCGGGCTATTTCCTTTAGATTGGAGACACCATTACCTGGAGGTTCCACTTTGCTGTTTTTTAAGTCACACTCCCTGAACTGCTTTGAAGGTTTCCACGGGGCTCAGGATGGTCTAGGCAAGAATGGTACTTTGCACTTTTCCAGCTGCCAGCATGGGGCTGGGAAGCATTTTACATTATCTCTGCTGTCCTGCGCAAGTCACTACATGCAAGGTCCATGTGTGTTTATAAAACTGACGCCATGAGAAAGGAAAGTCCTTCTGACTGCGAAACGAGGGATGGGATTCGACACAATGTTTCGGTTTAAATTTGTCTAAGGAACCAGGGTAAGCAGTGCCTGGCAACTGTCAGAAGTAAATGTTTACAAGATGAACAGCCATTCCCAATCACTGACAGGGGCAGTCTGAGTTTGAGCGGAATTGAGTGCCTGTCATGTGAGCTGTAGGTCACAACCTGTTGTCCTCAGATATTACCACTGGCCCTTGAAAGGACCTCTGGGAACCTCTGGGCAGGTGACTTGATGGGAAGGGACACACCCCAAGTGCAGCTGGGCTCAACTGGATGGGAATATAAGCACACTCAGAGGCTGTCTCTGGCAGAAGTTGGCCACCATCTCCCTGCCAACAGCCAGTCTCTCATGACTCAAAATCTCAAATTTGCTCTAAGCCAAGGGGAAAAGTCAGTTTCCGAGCTTAGGTTCTTGGCCCAACTGTGCTTCGGATAAACACAGTTCATGGCTATTTCAGTTCTGGATTTTTAGGGAGCAGCTGTAAGGCTATGGCAAGAGCCAAGGGTAGAGCCTTGGCCCAAATGGCAGTTCTCTGAGTGCCGGGGGGAGGGAAGGCTGGAGCATGATCCTTCAGAGAACGGGAGGGCAGCAAGGGGCTGTCCCACTGACAGGGAACATGTGTCTCAGTTCTAGGAACCCTCTCTGCTAAGGTCTGGCTCGCTAAAAAATAAAATAGATACTTGGGGTTTGGAGTAAGAACCACTATTCTACAAAAAGATGGAATTTTCTTACATTGGTGCCCAGTATTCTAAAAGCAGAATATGAGGGCCGTCAAAATGGCTAAACACTTGCCACAAAGCCTGATGATTTGGGGTCAGTCCTGGGATCCATATGGTGTAGAAAAGAACCAATTACAGAAAGTTGTCCTCTGCCCTCCACACGTGTGCTATTGTATACACACAAAATAAACAAATAAATGCAAAGCAATCAAAGCTCCTCTTTAGACATTAAGACATCATACCCTGCTTTTTATCAAAACATACACCTATTACAGG